GGGGCCGGGGCCCCATGGAGTGTCCTCTTTTTTCAATGTTCAAATATGGTAACCCTAGCTAATAGTTCAAGTTCTCTAGCAATTAAAATGCACCATCTGTCATGTACTATTTTAACCTCTCCCAATAGCTACTGAAGAGAATTGATTTTCCTTAAACAGTAGATTTCTTAAGGAAAAAAATAAAATAAAATATGGATGAATCAGTCAGACAGTAAAACATTTCTCTTTTTTTCCTTCAGGACACACACGTCTGGGATGTGGCCAAAATATGAGGTAATGCACTTAGAAAATAATGGTTATTAAAAGGAGAAAGAGGAGGCATTGCAAAAGCTTTGTTGGCTTAAAGCCACACTGTGCTATGGAGCTAAACCTCACAGACCAAACTGAGCCTTTGCTTATACCCACGACCCCACTGAAACGAATGGGGTTACATGGGTGTGCGAGAAGGCAAGATTTGGCGATGACAATCTAGCGGCCATCGAGTCACTTTAACAAGGGATGCAACCCCCCCCCATTTCAGGATATAATACCACGCGCTCAGCTCTCAGCGCTGTAGCTGGCGAGGCTGATTTGTTCAGTACACAGAAGTAGACACACAACTGTATGAGTACAGAACCTCAGCCTGAACTGGAGGATGCTGCTTCTATTCCTTCCTCAACTTCAGGCGAGGATTTCTTGCTCCTGAAAAATCTCATTTTCTCAAACTGCTTATTTCCGTTCCCATCCAGGATCTAGTACACCACTAGGAAAATCATGATTAGTATCATTTTTTTCTAAGCTACAGAGGTCAGACCTGACAAATCTTCACAACTCCCCAGTAAGCTCTGAATAATTTTGACTGCCCTTGACGATCACAATTTCTATCTATATCCTCCCCATAACAAAATAATCAGAACTTCACCTCACATTCTAAATATCACCTTACAAGTGCAGGAGAGTGCCAGCATATTAGCCCACACAGTATGTCCTATGCCCGTACATCCCTAGATCTGGCTTACTAATACAACTGCTGCAAAATGTGGTTGGATTTAGTTTTATTAACTGTGATAATTCTCCAGCCTTTTCTTTGCTCTGTAGTGTGTAGAGGAGGCTATAGCCATTATGATTATTTTTAGCCCCTAGTGTCCTCCTCTCAGAGTGTACACAATGTCAGAAGCCACTTTAGGCCCTGATCTATACAAATTACTTTGAACTTGTTCTTCTATAATTGCCCCACTTTTCTGTTGATTTTGTGTGCTAAATTTAGTCACACTAGAAATTAACAGAGGGTCCTGTGGCACCTTTAAGACTAACAGAAAGGTGCCACAGGACCCTCTGTTGCTTTTTACAGATTCAGACTAACACGGCTACCCCTCTGATACTAGAAATTAAATCTTCCTTAAGGTCATTGCAGTAGCAGGGGCACTTAGATACTACGGTGATGGGTGGAATGGAGAGAGAACCTCTGCAAATCACAGAACAGTAGATGTAATACTTATCCTTGCAGACTATGGGCTAGATCTGCAACATACCCTCCATTGACTTTAATATAGCTGCACCACTGCATACCAACTCAGAATTTGCCATGTTATCTTTCACCCTAAATGGTTTTATTTTTCTGGCACTCTTGGTTTCTGGATCTTATGCTAGTTTTTAATTCATTTTAATATATGTCTCAATTACACCATGCTTTTTAGTTTGTAAAATAATCTGCTAGTTGGTCTCAAATATCTTCTAGACATTCAAATCAATTCTGTCTATTTTCTCCCTTATCTATTAAGGCCCAGATTCTGCAATGTATGAAAATTCTTCACCTGTGAGAAGTCCCATGACATCTCTCAGTAATGTAACCTGTTAGACATGATCTTCCTTATATGAATCCATACAGTCAGTCTTTAGATATATGTAAATTTGGCTTATGAAATAATCTAAATGTTGAGTGAGTGGGCTATTTCTGTGTTCTATTGTATGCTTTCCTCCTTTGTGACTGTATGGCAATAGGGAGTGTTCTTTAATATTTTCCTGCATCTCATGCAGTTAAAAGACAAGGCCAAATGGATCAGTTTCGCTGCTGACACCAAATGGGTTTAATCCCTTATTTGTATGCTCTTAGATGGGTTTTCTTATCAACCTTTCCACCGCCAAAAATTAGTTTTTAAAAGTATTTGAAAATTACTAAAAGAAACCATTTGTTCCCTTCTTGACTGTATTTCCCCTCACACTAGCATAGCAGAAGGCAGCATGAATAAAACCTGTCAAATCAGATTCAAAATAGTGCTGAGATTTCAGTAGCAAAACGTCTTCTGCAGGGTATAGATAATTATCTGCTACTGCCAACAATATCCCCTTCCTAGGTAGGATATTTTATCTACAATTATTTCCTCCCCCCACCCCCCATCAATCACAATTAGGAAAAAAAAGACAAAAACTGCAGTATAACTTTGCTAATCATCCCAGAACACCATTTACACACAGAAAGCAACCCTCTCCCCACTGCTCAGCAAAGACCAGAGTGCTGTAAGGAGACTGCCTGTGATAGCAGGGACTGGATGAGAGTCCAGAAGTCTACACAGCAATGAAACAGCCCCGCAGCGTGAGCCTCACAAGCCCGAGTCAACTGGCATAGGCCAGACCACAGGTTTTTCTTTGCTGTGTAGACATATCCAGAATCTCCTGTGCCTAGTGGCCCATGAGGCAACCCATTTTCCCCACCACTGTCTGTCCTAAAGCAAAATGTTTGACTCCATCATAAATGGTCTCTATGATAGCAGCTCCCTTTTCAACGATCCTGCAACAGATCATTCTTTGTTCTTCTTGCCTTAAGGCTCTTGTTTTTACAAAGAACTGATTCATAGATTCCAAGGCCAGATCACCATTGTGATCATTTACCCTGACCTCCTGTATAACACAGGCCAGAGAACTTACCCCAAATAGTTCCTAGAGCAGAGCTTTTAGACAAATATCCAGTCTTGATTTAAAAATTTCCAGTAATGGAGAATCCACCATAACCCCTGGTAAATTGTTCCAATAGTTAATTACCCTTACTGTTAAAAATGTGCATCTTATTTCCAGTGTCAATTTTTCTAGCTTCAACTTCCAGCCACTGGATCATGTTGCACCTTTGTATGCTACAATGAAGAGATCATTATAAAATATTTCTTCTCCAGGTAGGTGTTTATAATCTGTGATCAAGTCATCCACATTTGAGCTC